TTCAGTCACTCCTTCTGCGCCCACAGGACAAGAAATGGGAAGATCCCAATTAAGAGACACCTAACTGTAGTCAGGTTTTGAGCTACAAGGAAAATTATTTCATTATATTTTTACAATGATGGAATCCCAAAAATTCTTTTGTGAAGAAAAGATGTGTTTTATTAAGGCACGCTGGGATTTGAACCCAGGATCTCCTGTTTACTAGACAGGCACTTTAACAAACTTATCCACAGCACCTTGATTGTCCCAAATTACATCAGAGGTAACTGTAGTCAGGTTTTGAGCTACAAGGAAAATAATTTAATTATATTTTTACAATGATAGAATCCCAAAAATTATTTTGTGAAGAAAAGATGTATTTCTATGAGGCACCGCTGGAATTTAAACCCAGGATCTCCTGTTTAGGAGACAGGAACTTTAACCTACTAAGCCACAGTGCCTTGTCTTTCACAATTCACAACAGAGGTAATTGTAGTCAGTTTTTGAGCTTCAAGGAAACCACAAATTAATCGACACTACACTTACTTAGAATACGAAAATGATGACTCTGGTGGGACTCGAACCCACAACCTTTGAATGCCTTGTTCTCTCACCTAGAAGTCCAATGCGCTGTCCATTGCGCCACAGAGCCCCTCTGCTTTTCAGTCACTCCTTCTGCGCCGGCAGGACAAGAAATGGGAAAATCCCAATTAAGAGACACCTAACTGTAGTCAGGTTTTGAGTTACAAGGAAAATAATTTAATTATATTTTCTCAGTAATGAAATCCCAAAAATTCTTTTGTGAAGAAAAGATGTGTTTTATTTAGGCACCGCTGGGATTTGAACCCAGGATCTCCTGTTTACTAGACAGGCACTTTAACCAACTAAGCCACAGCACCTTGTTTGTCCCAAATTACATCAGAAGTAACTGTAGTCAGGTTTTGAGCTACAAGGAAAATAATTTAATTATATTTTTACAATGATGGAATCCCAAAAATTCTTTTGTAAAAAAAAAGATGTGTTTTATTAAGGCACCGCTGGGATTTGAACCCAGGATCTCCTGTTTACTAGACAGGCACTTTAAACAACTAAGCCACAGTGCCTTGTCTTTCACAATTCACAACAGAGGTAATTGTAGTCAGGTTTTGAGCTTCAAGGAAACCACAAATTAATCGACACAACACTTACTTAGAATACGAAAATAATGACTCTGGTGGGACTCGAACCCACAACCTTTGTATGCCTTCTTCTCTCACGTAGAAGTCCAATGCGCTGTCCATTGCGCCACGGAGCCCCTCTGCTTTTCAGTCACTCCTTCTGTGCCCGCAGGACAAGAAATGGGAAAATCACAATTAAGAGACACCTAACTGTTGTCAGGTTTTGAGCTACAAGGAAAATAATGTAATTATATTTTCTCAATGATGAAATCCCAAAATTTCTTTTGTGAAGAAAAGATGTGTTTTATTAAGGCACCGCTGGGATTTGAACCCAGGATCTCCTGTTTACTAGACAGGCACTTTAACCAACTAAGCCACAGCGCCTTGTTTGTTCCAATTTACATCTGAGATAACTGTACTCAGGTTTTGAGCTACAAGGAAAATAATTTCATTATATTTTTACAATGATGGAAACCCAAAAATTATTTTGTGAAGAAAAGATGTATTTCTATGAGGCACTGCTGGGATTTGAACACAGGATATAATGTTAATGAGACAGGGACTTTAACCTACTAAGCCACGGTGCCTTGCTATGACAATTCACAACAGAGGTAATTGTAGTCAGGTTTTGAGCTTCAAGAAAACCACAAACTAAACGACACAACACTTACTTAGAATACGAAAATGATGACTCTGGTTGGACTCGAACCCACAACCTTTGAATGCCTTCTTCTCTCACCTAGAAGTCCAATGCGCTGTCCATTGCGCCACAGATCCCCTCTGCTTTTCAGTCACTCCTTCTGCCCCCGCAGGACAAGAAATGTAAAAATCCCTATTATGAGACACCTAACTGTAGTCAGGTTTTGAGCTACAAGGAAAATAATTTAATTATATTTTCTCAATGATGAAATCCCAAAAATTCTTTTGTGAAGAAAAGATGTGTTTTATTAAGGCACCGCTGGGATTTGAACCCAGGATCTCCTGTTTACTAGACAGGCACTTTAACCAACTAAGCCACAGCGCCTTGTTTGTTTCAATTTACATCAGAGGTAACTGTAGTCAGGTTTTGAGCTACATGGAAAATAATTTATTTATATTTTTACAAAGATGGAATCCCAAAAATTATTTTGTGAAGAAAAGATGTATTTCTATGAGGCACCGCTGGGAATTAAACCCAGTATCTCCTATTTAGGAGACAGGAACTTTAACCTACTAAGCCACAGTGCCTTTTCTTTCACAATTCACAACAGAGGTAATTGTAGTCAGGTTTTGAGCTTCAAGGAAACCAAAAATTAATCGACACAACACTTACTTAAAATACGAAAATGATGACTCTGGTGGGACTCGAACCCACGACCTTTGAGTGCCTTCTTCTCTCACCTAGAAGTCCAATGCGCTGTCCATTGCGCCACAGAGCCCCTCTGTGTTTTAGTCACTCCTTCTGCACAAACAGGACAAGAAATGGGAAAATCCCAATTAAGAGACACCTAACTGTAGTCAGGTTTTGAGCTACAAGGAAAATAATTTAATTTTATTTTTACAATGATGGAATCCCAAAAATAATTTTGTGAAGAAAAGATGTATTTCTATAAGGCACCGCTGGGAATTAAACCCAGGATCTCCTGTTTACTAGACAGGCACTTTAACCAACTAAGCCACAGCGCCTTGTTTGTTCCAATTTACATCAGAGGTAACTGTAGTCAGGTTTTGAGCTACAAGGAAAATAATTTAATTATATTTTTACAATGATGGAATCCCAAAAATTCTTTTGTGAAGAAAAGATGTATTTCTATGAGCCACTGCTGGGATTTGAACCCAGGATCTAATGTTTATGAGACAGGGACTTTAACCTACTAAGCCACGGTGCCTTGCTATGACAATTTACAACAGAGGTAATTGTAATCAGGTTTTGAGCTTCAAGGAAACCAAAAATTAATCGTCACAACACTTACTTAAAATACGAAAATGATGACTCTGGAGAGACTCGAACCCACAACCTTTGATTGCCTTCTTCTCTCAGCTAGAAGTCCAATGCACTGTCCATTGCACCACAGAGCCCCTCTGCTTTTCAATCACTCCTTCTGCGCCCGCAGGACAAGAAATGGGAAAATCCCAATTAAGAGACACCTAAAAGTAGTCAGGTTTTGAGCTACAAGGAAAATAATTTAATTATATTTTCTCAATGATGAAATCCCAAAAATTCTTTTGTGAAGAAAAGATGTGTTTTATTAAGGCACCGCTGGGATTTGAACCCAGGATCTCCTGTTTACTAGACAGGCACTTTAACCAACTAAGCCACAGCACCTTGTTTGTTCCAATTTATATCAGAGGTAACTGTAGCCAGGTTTTGAGCTACAAGGAAAATAATTTAATTATATTTTTACAATGATGGAATCCCAAAAATAATTTTGTGAAGAAAAGATGTATTTCAATAAGGCACCGCTGGGAATTAAACCCAGGATCTCCTGTTTAGGAGACAGGAACTTTAACCTACTAAGCCACAGTGCCTTGTCTTTCACAATTCACAACAGAGGTAATTGTAGTCAGGTTTTGAGCTTCAAGGAAACCACAAATTAATCGACACAACACTTACTTAGAATACGAAAATGATGACTAAGGTGGGACTCGAACCCACAACCTTTGAATGCCTTCTTCTCTCACCTAAAAGTCCAATGCGACGTCCATTGAGCCACAGAGGCCCTCTGCTTTTCAGTCACTCCTTCTGCGCCCGCAGGACAAGAAATGGGAAAATCCCAATTAACAGACACCTAACTGCAGTCAGGTTTTGAGCTACAAGGAAAATAATTTAATTATATTTTCTCAATGATGAAATCCCAAAAATTCTTTTGTGAAGAAAAGATGTGTTTTATTAAGGCACCGCTGGGATTTGAACCCAGGATTTCCTGTTTACTGGACAGGCACTTTAACCAACTAAGCCACAGCGCCTTGTTTGTTCCAATTTACATCAGAGGTAACTGTAGTCATGTTTTGAGCTACAAGGAAAATAATTTAATTATATTTTTACAATAATGGAATACCAAAAATTATTTTGTGAAGAAAAGATGTATTTCTATGAGGCACTGCTGGGATTTGAACCTGGGATCTAATGTTTATGAGACAAGGACTTTAACCTACTAAGCCACGGTGCCTTGCTATGACAATTCACAACAGAGGTAATTGTAATCAGGTTTTGAGCTTCAAGGAAACCAAAAATTAATCGACACAACACTTACTTAAAATACGAAAATGATGACTCTGGTGGGACTCGAACCCACAACCTTTGAATGCCTTCTTCTCTCACCTAGAAGTCCAATGCGCTGTCCATTGCGCCACAGAGCCCCTCTGCTTTTCAGTCACTCCTTTTGCGCCCGCAGGACAAGAAATGGGAAAATCCCAATTAAGAGACACCTAACTGTAGTCAGGTTTTGAGCTACAGAAAAATAATTTAATTATATTTTCCCAATGATGAAATCCCAAAAATTCTTTTGTGATGAAAAGATGGGTTTTATTAAGGCACCGCTGGGATTTGAACCCCGGATCTCCTGTTTACTAGACAGGTACTTTAACCAACTAAGCCACAGCACCTTGTTTGTTCCAAATTACATCAGAGGTAACTGTAGTCAGGTTTTGAGCTACAAGGAAAATAATTTAATTATATTTTTACAATGATGGAATCCCAAAAATTCTTTTGTGAAGAAAAGATGTGTTTTATTAAGGCACCGCTGGGATTTGAACCCAGGATCTCCTGTTTACTAGACAGGCACTTTAACCAACTAAGCCACAGTGCCTTGTCTTTCACAATTCACAACATAGGTAACTGTAGTCAGGTTTTGAGCTTCAAGGACACCACAAATTAATCGACACTACACTTACTTAGAATACGAAAATGATGACTCTGGTGGGACTCGAACCCACAACCTTTGAATGTCTTCTTCTCTCACCTAGAAGTCCAATGCGCTGTCCATTGCGCCACAGAGCCCCTCTGCTTTTCAGTCACTCCTTCTGCGCCCGCAGGACAAGAAATGGGAAAATCCCAATTAAGATACACCTAACTGTAGTCAGGTTTTGAGCTACAAGGAAAATTATTTAATTATATTTTCTCAATGATGAAATCCCAAAAATTATTTTGTGAAGAAAAGATGTGTTTTATTAAGGCACAGCTGCGATTTGAACCCAGGATCTCCTGTTTACTAGACAGGCACTTTAACCAACTAAGCCACAGCACCTTGTTTGTCCCAAATTACATAAGAGGTAACTGTAGTCAGGTTTTGAGCTACAAGGAAAATAATTTAATTATATTTTTACAATGATGGAATCCCAAAAATTCTTTTGTAAAAAAAAAGATGTGTTTTATTAAGGCACCGCTGGGATTTGAACCCAGGATCTCCTGTTTACTAGACAGGCACTTTAACCAACTAAGCCACAGCACCTTGTTTGTTCCAAGTTACATCAGAGGTAACTGTAGTCAGGTTTTGAGCTACAAGGAAACTAATTTCATTATATTTTTACAATGATGGAATCCCAAAAAAAATTTTGTGCAGAAAAGATGTATTTTTATGAGGCACCGCTGGGAATTAAACCCAGGATCTCCTGTTTAGGAGACAGGAACTTTAACCTACTAAGCCACAGTGCCCTGTCTTTCACAATTCACAACAGAGGTAATTGTAGTAAGGTTTTGAGCTTCAAGGAAACCAAAAATTAATCGAATCAAAACTTATTTAGAATGGAAACTGATGACTCTGGTGGGACTTCTTCTCTCCTAGAAGTCTAATGCGCTGTCCATTGCGCCACAGAGCCCCACTGTTTTTCAGTCACTCCTTCTGCGCCCGCAGGAAAAGAAATGGGAAAATCCCAAATAAGAGACACCTAACTGTAGTCAGGTTTTAAGCTACAAGGAAAATAATTTAATTATATTTTCTCAATGATGAAATCCCAAAAATTCTTTTGTGAAGAAAAGATGTATTTCTATGAGGCTCTGCTGGGAATTTAACCCAGTATCGCCTGTTTATTAGACAGGCACTTTAACCACCGATGCCACAGCACCTTGTTTGTGCCAAATTACAACAGAGGTCACTGTAGTCAAGGTTTGAGCTACAAGGAAAATAATTTAGTTCTATTTTCTCAATGATGAAGTCCCAAAAATTATTTTGTGAAGATAAAATGTATTTTATTAAGGCACCGCTGGGATTTGAACCAAGGATCTCCATTTTACTAGACAGGCACTTTAACCGACTAAGCCACGGCGCCTTGTTTCTGCCAATATACATCAGAGGTAACTGTAGTCAGGTTTTGAGCTACAAGGAAAATAATTTATTTATATTTTCACAATGATGGAATCCCAAAAATTATTTTGTGAAGAAAAGATGTATTTCTATGAGGCACTGCTGGGATTTGAACCCAGTATCTAATGTTTATTAGACAGGCACTTTAACAACTAAGCCACAGCACCTTGTTTGTGCCAATTCACAACAGAAGTCAATGTAGTCAAGTTTTGAGCTACAAGGAAATAATTTAATTTATTTTCTCAATGATGAAATCCCAAAAATTATTTTGTGAAGAAAAGATGTATTTCTATGAGGCACTGCTGGGACTTGAACCCAGTATCTAATTTTTTTTAGACAGGCACTTTAACAACTAAGCCACAGCACCTTGTTTGTGCCAATTCACAACAGAAGTCAATGTAGTCAACTTTTGAGCTACAAGGAAATTAATTTAATTTTATTTTCTCAATGATGAAATCCCAAAAAATATTTTGTGAAGAAAAGATGTATTTTATTAAGGCACCGGCACTTTAAGGCACAGGCACTTTAACCAACTAAGCCACTGTGCCTTGTTTGTGCCAATGTATATCAGAGGTAACTGTAGTCAGGTTTTGAGCTACAAGGAAAATAATTTAATTATATTTTCACAATGATGGAATCCCAAAAATTATTTTGTGAAGAAAAGATGTATTTCTATGAGGTACCACTGGGATTTGAACCCAGGATCTCCTGTTTACTAGACAGGAACTTTAACCTACTAAGCCATGGTGCCTTGCCTTGACAATTCACAACAGAGGTAATTGTAGTCAGGTTTTGAGCTTCAAGGAAACCAAAAATTAATCGACACAACACTTACTTAGAATACGAAAATGATGACTCTGGTGGGACTCGAACCCACAATCTTTGAATGCCTTCTTCTCATACCTAGAAGTCCAATGTGCTGTCCATTGCGCCACAGAGCCCCTCTGCTTTTCAGTCACTCCTTCTGCGCCCGCAGGACAAGAAATGGGAAAATCGCTATTAAGAGACACCTAACTGTAGTCAGGTTTTGAGCTACAATGAAAATAATGTAATTATATTTTCTCAATGATGAAATCCCAAAATTTTTGTGAAGAAAATATGTATTTTGTTAAGGCACCGCTGGGATTTGAACCCAGGATCTCCTGTTTACGAGACAGGCACTTTAACCAACTAAACCACAGCGCCTTATTTGTGCCAAAATTACATCTAAGGTAACTGTAGTCAGGTTTTGAGCTACAAGGAAAAAAATTTAATTATATCTTTACAATGATGGAATCCCAAAAATTATTTGTTAAGAAAAGATGTATTTCTATGAGGCACTGCTGGGATTTGAACCCAGGATCTAATGTTTATGAGACAGGAACTTTAACCTACTAAGCCACAGTCCCTTGTCTTTCACAATTCACATCAGAGGTAATTGTAGTCAGGTTTTGAACTTCAAGGAAACCAAAAATTAATCGACACAACACTTACTTAGAACACGAAAATTATGACTCTGGTGGGACTCAAACCCACAACCTTTGAATGCCTTCTCCTTCTGCGCCCGCAGGACAAGAAATGGGAAAATCCCAATTAAGAGAAACCTAGCTGTAGTCAAGTTTTGAGCTACAAGTAAAATAATTTGATTATATTTTCACAATATTGGAATCCCAAAAACTGTTGTATGAAGAAAACACATAAATCATTAAAGCACCGCTGGGATTTGAATCCAGGAACTCCTTTTTACAAGACAGAAACTTTAACCGACTAAGCCACAGAACCTTGGATAATGCAATCCACAAAAGTGTAAGTGTAATCAGGTTTTGAGCTACAAGGAAAAAAGTACAATTATATTTTAACAATGACTGAAACTCAGATATCATTTTGTGAGGAAAACACGAAAAAATTTAGGCATCGCTGGGATTTGAACCCAGGATATGCTGATTACAAGACAGGAAGTTTAACCTGCTAACCTACTAATAGTCTTTGACAATTCACAATAGAGGTATCATTTTGTGAGGAAAAGATGAAAAGCTTTTGGGAGTGCTGGGGTTGAACCCAGGATCTTTTCTTTACTAGACAGTTACTTTTGTTACAACTCGTTTTAAAGGGGAGGAGATTGTAGGTGAGATTTTAAAAACTTACAACGTAATAGAGTTCCAACATCCGTCAACAAAACACCAAACACAATCGAATCAGTAAAAAAATTTAAAATTGTATTACTAAACAGACAAACATTTAACATAGAAAGAAAGTGGCTTAGGTGGAGAAAGACCAAAATAACAAACAAAACCCACTACAAAAATAAACCAACCCCCTAATTTCCCTAAAGGACAATTATTGTAAAACACAACACAACTTCCCTACACTTCCTCACCAATATGTATATATTTCAGCCCTCCATTTTCAAGCAAGATATTATTTATGCCAGAAAATATTGGGATCTTATAAAATATGGTCTTTTAAAAAAAAAGTAATAAAATAGATTTATTTTTAAGTGTAATTATGTGTTTACTTGATACCTTTACTATCACAAAAAGTGCTATCATACATGAGGTACATAAAATATAATTTCATTGCTACAAACTGAATGTTTATTCCAAACATTTGTACATTTATTTTAATGGTATTGTACTTTAAATACACCTACAATAAAGCTTTGCTATGTGTGATTGGACTGGTGTTGTGTAATGAGAAAGAAGCTTTGAGACATGGGTTTTATTTGGAGGTTTACTCCATTTTTTATTTGAAAACAAGAATAGTTCATGAATCAAGGAAATCATGAGAGTTCGAAACAAGGCTTTAACGAAACCATCAGCTGGGCTCTAGAGAAACCCTTTAATATATTCGTCCAGTGCTTCCAAGCAGAGCAGGACCTCCAAAGAAACTCCTCTTCTCCTCACAACCATCAGTAATGGACCTCCATTCATGTAACGCCACGCCAAGCCAGAACTGCTTCCTAATGCTATGCCCCTAGAGAGTAAAGCTTACCCCCTTACTATTCAAGAGTCACAAGCTATGGAGGAGTACATCGAGGAGGCATTGAGTTATGGTTTTATCAGGCCCTCAACATCACCAGCAGCAGCTGGTTTCTTCTTTGTCGACAAGAAGGATGGAGGCTTGAGACCATGCATAGATTATCGAGGACTGAATAACATTACCATCAAGAATCGCTACCCTTTACCCTTGGTTCCATCTGCATTGGAACAGCTCCGGGAAGCCAAGGTTTACACCAAGCTTGATCTACACAGTGCCTATAATCTGATACATATCAAGGAGGGTGATGAGTGGAAGACGGCGTTTATCACCACTAGGAGGCACTTTGAATACCTCGGCATGCCTTATGGCCTTGCCAATTCTCCAGCTGTGTTTGTTGTTCATTAACGAGATCTTCAGGGACATCCTTAACGTCTATGTGATAGCCTACATCGATGATATCCCCATATATTCCAAGAATCTAAATGAGCACATCAGCCATGTCCGTGAAGTACTTTCCCATTTACTGAAACATCAACTTTTCGTAAAAGCAGAGAAATGTGCCTTCCATACTAACCATACTACGTTCCTAGGATACATCATAAACCCAGAGGGAGTGGAGATGGACTCTGAGAAGTTGCAGGCTGTGAAGGAATGGCCACAATCAAAGACGGTTCATAAAGAACTACAGCATGATCTCAGCTCCTATGACCTCCCTCTTGAAGGGAAAGCCAAGGAACCTCTCCTGAACACCATCTGCCATCAAAGCATTTCACACACTTAAAGAAAGGTTCACCTCTTAAGGCCCCATACTTAAATATCCAAATCCTGAAAACCCATTTGTACTAGAGGTAGATGCATCTGATTGTGGAATTGGTGCAGTGTTGTCTCAACGTCATGATAACCTGGGAAAGCTTTTCCCATGTGCTTTCTTCTCCAGGAAGTTGTCCTCAGTGGAGGCTAATTACGATGTGGGAGATAAGGAACTCCTATCAATCAAGGCGGCAATTGAGGCATGGAGGCACTGGCTTGAGGAGGCCAAACACCCATTTCTAGTGATGATGGACCATAAGAACGACCATGGTCACATCTCTCAATAGACTTTGTCACTGATCTACCTCCTTCGTGGGTTAAACCACTATCCTCATCATCATCGACCGTTTCTCCAAGGCCTGTAAGCTAGTCCCACTTCCATGACTTCCCACAGTACTACAAACAGCAAGAGCAATCTTGCACCACGTTTTCCGCATCTATGGCCTCCCTGACGATATCATATCATATCAGTTCCTTCAGTTAACGATTGGATTCAGTGTAGTGAGCGGGTGTGGAGCAGTGCTCATGTTCGTCTGCAGCGTGCAATTCACACTCAGGAGCTGCAGGCAAATCACCGCCGCCGTCCCCACCCTCCATACCAACCAGGGCAGCGAGTATGGCTGTCAAAACTGTTCCATTTAAAACTCAGGTTACCATCTAAAAAGCTCAGCCAAAGGTATGTTGGTCCTTTCAAGATCTTGCAACAAGTCAATGAGGTAACTTATAAATTAGAACTTCCGAACCATTATAGAATCTCCCCTTCGTTCCATGTATCCCTATTAAAACCGGTACACAACTCCACTGACCTCAACTCCTCTAATCTAGAGCCTCCTAATCAATCAGCTGCTAGACTCACGACGGAGAGCAGGTCAACTTCAGTACCTTGTGGACTGGGAGGGCTATGGACCTGAAGAACGTTCCTGGGTTCCAGCCTCCGACATCCTGGACCCTGCTCTTATCACCGAATTTTACTGTGCTTGCTGATTGCCCAGCTCCTTCACCCCGAAGTCACCCTCGAAGAGAAGGGGGGGGGGGTTCTGTAACGCCACGGCAGCAGAGGGCTCCCTCTCCGGAGTTCTAACCCTTGCTGCATAACTTCCCTCACTTTGCCTGGACTTTTGGATTACCCCTTTGGATTCTGATATTTATTTATTTGCCTGTTTGATTGTTATTTGGATTCTGACCCTTGCCTGCCTCTCGACCTTCCTGAACGGTGTTCATGTGAGTGTTTGCTGGCACATGTGCTGCCGCATGGCGCCGCCATTTTGAATACTGCTCCTTTTCTCACTGTGTGCTTCAATAAACTTCGGCACATGGATTCCCCAATGCCTCTTGCCTCAGCGTCATTACAATTCATCAGTGAATCGCGAATTGAGCAGCGTGGTTGCCGCGATAGGCGCGTATTGAACGTCATGGATGGGCGATACAGAGCACAGCCATGAACTCCGCCACCAAACAACCTTCAGCAATGGACCTTCATTCATCAGTGAGGAGCACAGCCATGAACACCTCCACCAACCAGTTCCAAGCTGCAGTCCCAGCATCCGAGACTTACAAGCAATGAAGCTGCTGCTGCTGCTGCTGCTGATGAGGATGATGACCAGGTTGGAGTCTCCACCGTCAATCTGAAAGGAGAGAAGACAAACATTTAAAGACAGATTGCAGATCCACGATAGCAGTTTACACTTTCTAACTTCACCTGTATTTAGAATTTGCCCTGATTTACTTGTTTCACCATCAGTATTACATTCAATCCACTGTTTAACAAGTATTATAATTCAAACTCAAGCAATTAAAAAAAAACACTGACATTTACCCATGCAGTGTTTTATTAGTACTACAGTGAAGTATTTTAAGGTTAACATTTTTTAGGTAATTCTGAGGTTGCTGTGGAATATATATTCTCCACAAGTACAACTATAAGTTATATTTTACTTTAATATAGGAGTATATTGTAATAAAAACTAAAGTAAACCACTGTTAAATACAGTTTAATGCTTCACTAAAGCCAAGTTAATCTATAGGTTTTTTTCAGATTACTTAGAAATACAACAATATAATGTATAAATCTGAAATTTGTAAATTAAACAAATACAGTAATTACATTATATGATTACAGCATTTTTAACATGTTGCTGTAATTGTTAAAAAGGAAACTTATTCATTTTTTTATTAAAGTCCCGTCCGTTCATAAGACTAGCAGTATGTAGAGGGTCTCGGTTATTATTTACACAGAATGTAGCATGAATACTGACCAGAAATAGATACGCGAGTTTCCTGCATGTTGGTGAACCACGCCGAGCAGGGTACATCTCTGGAGGATTCTTTGCTCCTATAGTCACAGGCCAGAACACGTTTTTGATGTTTTGGAGCATTTCAAAGCTTAGTGATGCAGATAGAAACTTAACAATCCTGTCAGCCATTTTCCAAACCAATGCTGCACCTGTAGCTCCTCCCACTGATCTGCACATTCCAATCAATACCTGAATGTCATGCGTGCATTTAGCGGCTCTGCCACGCGAATCAGGCGATCAAGCGGAGAGTAAACATGTGTGCATTCATGCGCAAACAGCGTTTTTTTTCTGCGCGAGCCGCGTTCAATGTGAACGTACCTTTACGCCTTGCACTATTCTTTTTCTTGAGTACCGGACACAAAGCAATTACATAACCGACACCGTGACAGTAAAAACACTCACAATCATCAGTTTGAGCAGACGATTTCGGAAATGAAGACTTCGAATGTTTCTCAAAATGTGGAGTTCAAAACTAGTTCATAAGCCCTCAAGACAGCTGATTTCACCCTATCATAATCTAAACTATCGTCAATAGACAGAGCGGAACAAATTTCTTTAGCGTTTCCGGTAAAACGGCATTGCAACAAAAGCGGCCTAATATCTCTAGGCCAGCACAACGCGGCAGCTACACGCTCGAAAGCGCCGAAATACGAATCCACCTCCGCCTCTCTGAAAGGTGGCACAAGGTTTATCTGTCTAGAAACATCAAATCCAGAATTTTCGGAGGCAATACGCATAGTCAAATTTTAATGCAAATTGTGTTGAACAGAAGAAGCGACATTACTTTCACTAGTCAACTGGCGACCTTGATTTTCTATCATGATTTTAGTATCATACGAGTAATACTAGTCAAAATCCATGCTCACAGTAGTTTACTGTGTCTGCGTTCTGTAATAGG